ATTATTAGGTTTATTATTATTATATTATTATTATTATTATTATTATTATTATTATTATTATTATTATTATTATTATTATTATTATTATTATTATTATTATTATTATTATTATTATTATTATTATTATTATTATTATTATTATTATTATTATTATTATTATTATTATTATTATTATTATTATTATTATTATTATTATTATTATTATTATTATTATTATTATTATTATTATTATTATTTATTATTATATTATTATTATTATTATTATTATTATTATTATTATTATTATTATTATTATTATTATTATTATTATTATTATTATTATTATTATTATTATTATTATTGTTATTATTATTATTATTATTATTATTATTATTATTATTATTATTATTATTATTATTATTGTTATTGATAATTTTCTTTCATAATTGAGGTTTGATCCTAGTAGCATTGAATAGTGTTCATACGAATCAACAGCTGTTTTTGCTGTCTAATATGCCACTTCAGATTTGATAACACATGCTAGTGAGACATTCATTTGTTTTCAAACATTTGTTACAATTACGAGGGTTATAGGTTAGGAGGATGGCATTGTTGGCTGAAGATTATGTTCCCCATAGTGTTCACATTTATTTAGTCATCCAGATTTTATAATTTATTATTGGCTTAACGAATTACCACTTGGTGCAGTTTTTTTACGATGGCACAAGCTGCTTCAGTTAATGGTGCAGCAACGGCAGTAGTGAGTAAACCTCAGTCAGCAACTCCAGTATCATCAAACACTACACAGACGACAAATGATTATGATTTTTCCTCATTAACACAAGGAATGTTTGCAAAACCCTGATTGGCATCGTCATATATACCATGGAAAATTAGTTAATAGTTAAAATTACAGAAAATTGCAATTCCTTTTTCAAAACCTTTCCCTTGAGTCGTAATTGGGTTGTATACCATTTATAGAGCTAGTGAGCTAGTTCAATTTTTTTTTCTCTTTTTTGGGGTGATTGTGTTATTTGTAAGTATATATGCCTACTATCAGGGAAGGAATATTTTGGGTTTTGGCAATATCCGTGCATATAACAAATGAGCGGGTGTATTCTAGTTGCGATCCCAAACATTAAGATATAAAGCTTTAAAAGAAATGATAACCAACAAGACAAGCTATGAAAAATGACAGTTTTAGTAGAAGATATTGGGCTTGTATTTAGGGCCGGTCCGATCCGAGTATTTGCTCTCCTGAAGATTGGACTGAAATTCGAATTGGGTAGACTGGGGACCGGACCATAATAGTATTGGCTTTTTTTTTGGACCGAAACCGGTCCGGTACATTCGGGTAAATTGGAACCGGACTGAATTTAACGGATTTGTATACTAATTGAGACCGGTCTGATGAGTTTCGAGCGGGTAATCGGACCACCCGAAATATAAGAATAAAAATGTAATTTCAGAAATTATAACATAAAATTGAAACTCATTGAGACCGGTCCGATGAGTTTCGAGCGGGTAATCGGACCATCCGAAATATAAGAATAAAAATGTAATTTCAGAAATTATAACATAAAATTGAAATTCAATTTCTAATATGATACTATCATCATTTTACTAAATAATGCATAATTTTGCTATCCAATTCACATTATATCAATCATCGGACATTGTATACATATTACAATACCATAACAAGTAACAACACTGTATCAAAAAAAAATATTAAAAGATTGTACCAAAAAACTTTGCAAAATATCATTACATAATTATGCCTTAGAACAAACTCATCATTGGCATTTAAAATACACATTTTCAATTTGTAGCTGTTGAAGAAGCGAGACCCAAATCTTCACCAAAATGATAACTCAAAAGTTCATCTTGTGGTTCCTCAAGCTACAAAAACAGAAAATGTATTAGTGAGACAGAATAATAATCAATATACATATTACATTAATAACCAATATACATAATAACCAATACTTACAATTGAAGTAGTGCAATCCTTCTTAATTTCATACTTCTCCTTTACCCAATCACCTCCACAAAGCACCATTTCAGCTATCTTAATTTTTATAGATGATCGTTTTGGATCAATAACCCTTTTCGCAACATTAAAAGTTGCTTCAGAAGCAACCGTAGTAACTAGAACAGTTAGGATATCTTTTGTCAATTTACTAAGAACGGGATACTTGGCTTCATTCCCCATCCACCATGTTAAAACATCAAATTTAGCTTTAGGGGAAACTTTTAAGGGAGACTCCTCAAAATATAATTCAAGATTAGATTTTGAATTATCATTACACACAACAGTTTCTAAAAACCTCTCAAAATTCCTCCTTTCCAACTCAAAAGTAGATCCTAATTCTGGACTTTTAGATACACCACAAGCAGGAGTAATCTCATCATTGGTTCCATAGGTATCTTTATACAATTGGAAGAGGGAACTTAAGTTGTCCGACAACCCTTGTTCATAGATAGTTGCTTGAGAAGGATTTGGATACAAGAAGGGGTTACCCATTTGATGAAGATCATTTTATACCTATTACATAAAGTAAAGTATCAGGTAACAATACTGGCATCAGAATAATTCACAAGGCAACATATAATGGTTTCAAAATTAATTTTCATCATGGACAAGGCAATATACAAGGAGGTAACAAATCATGCCTCAGTCACAAGTAAATTAACAAGTAGGTAACATAACAGGCCTCATATAGTTGATGTCAAATGAAATAGATCAAATATAATTCATCATATGAACTATTAAATCACAACTAACTAGTCAACTTAATTGAATCAATAGGCAATATTAAGTCACAACTCACAGTGCAGATTATGCCTTAGATAATCATTAATATCATACAGGATTCATCATTGACATTTGGCATCAAATAATAATGAAGCATATCAAACATATTTCATAAAAGGCCTCAGATATTCATTAATATCATACAGAATTCATCATAGGCATCAGTTAATAATCAAGAAGATCAAACAGATTTCATCAAAGGCCTTAGATAATTATTAATATCATACATAATTCATCATATGCATCAATTAATAATCAAGCAAATCAAACAGATTTATCAAAGGCCTTAGATAATCATTCATATCATACATAATTCATCATAGGCATCAGTTAATAATCAAGCAGATCAAACAGATTTCATCAAAGCCTCAGATAATAATGAAGCATATCATACATAATTCATCATTGGCTAACATGTTCATACCTTGGATCAAAGACTGCACCAAAAGAAATCAATGTATTAGACTCTGACCAATACTTGTCATATTTCAACTTTATTTCATTAGCAAGCGCCTGCAGCTGGGGATTATTTTAGATACTTGAAGGTTTATCAAGTAGAACCTTCATCCTGTAAAGCTCAACCAAAAATAGATTAGTAGTAGGGTAAGATGTGCCACTTATAATTGATGTCACATCAGCAAAAACTTCCAAAAACTTACAAATATCATGCACATCTTCTCAATCATTTGCCTCAAGCAAAAAACTGAGAAATGCACCATTTTCCTCAGCATATCTAGGTCACACTTCTCTGTAGTGGTATGCAGTTGTCAACATCAACCAAGTTGAGTTCCACCTTGTCTTGGTATCCAACACCTGCATTCTGCCTTCAAGTTGCAACTCATCAATAAACTTTTTGAATACTTTGCATCTAGTTTCAGAATTCAACAAGTATTTTACACACTTTCTTATCTGATCAACAGTCACCTTAATCATATCAAAACCATCCTGCACCAACAAATTTAAGATGTGTGCACAACACCTTACATGAAACAGTTTACCATCTAAGGGTAAATTTATCCTACTAGAATAATCCCTCTTCAATCTAGCAATGTGATTATCATTGACACTAGCATTATCTACAGAAATTGAAGTTATCTTATCCCTTATTCCCCAATCATCCATCACCTTAATCAACTCCCTACACAAAACCTCCCCAGAATATGACGGTGACACATTCTGAAAAGATAAAACTCTTTTATAAAGCTGTCATTTTGAATCAATAAAATGACCAGTCACAATTATATAATCTATCCTCTATTCATCAGACCACCACAAGTCAGTGGTAAGACTGACCCTGTTAATCAAAGTCATAGACTTTTTCATCTTAACTCTCTCAACCTCATAAAATGTCTTACAATCAAACTTAACCTGTTGCCTAGTAATCTTTTTGTACCATGGATAAATCTCCCTAAGAAACTTTTAAAAATAACACCTTCCATAACATAAAAAAGAAATTCACGACCTAGAATCATATGTGCTGCAAGTTCTCTAACCCTAGCATGATTATATGTCCAAGTTGCTAAACTTGGAGTATTATCACCTATGTTTAACCTAGACTGTGCAACCTCTTTGTCATTATTACCTTTCAACCTCAACTTTCTATGAATACAAACAACTAAATGTTTCTTACCATTAGATGTACTTTTCCACTTCGTATCATATGCGTAAAGCTTACCACACCATCTGCACTTCCACTTCTTACCACCAGATCCATCAATAAGCACCATTTCAGTATGAACAACAATTTTTCTGGGACGAGAAGCTTTACCAAAAGCATTTATCTGAGAACTCTGATCTTGGTCAATTGGAGGGGTTGACCCATCAGTATTGGTAGTATTTTCAGTGAGGGTATTTTGAGTGGTAGTATTATCAGTGGCAGTATTTTTGAGTGATAGTATTATCAGTGGAGGTATTTTGAACTGGAAGCTCCAAATCAATCATCTCACCAATCTCTAAATAACCTCCATCCGTTGTCTCCTCTTCCCCAATGTCAGCAAGTGTTATACCCCAAAATTTGCCCTCCCATATTCCTCAAGAAATTGCCAAGTCAAGCTACAAAATTCCCCAAGGGTTGTGCGGTGCAATAGTCTCCCATACAGTCAAAATTAGGGTTTTGAGTCTGATCAAGAAAAGGAAGTGTTCAAAGGCTCAATCAAGTCTCACATGCTTACAAACATGGTCAAGCATCCTCATATCAAGTTTCAAGGCATTCAGCTCAAGATTGCACAGTCAAAACCCTAAATTGCACTACAGTCAACTGTAGGGGCAAAATGGTCATTTGACAGTCAAAAGTTCAAATTTTTGGTCAATATATCATTTCGAAGCCACAAACATCATTTGACCAATGCTTGATCATGATTCTCAAAATTTGGCTCAGAAGTCATCAAAGATGCAAAAGTTGCTATATTTGGACAGCTGAAAAAGTCAACTGAAATTGACCAGGGCATAACTTTCACATGGATTATCAGAAAAATTCCATCCAAAGCTCATTTTGAAGAGAAAGACATTTCCTACAACGCATCTTCATACTTCAAGTCCAAGAAATGCTCTCACAAAAAGTTATCAATTTTAACATTATAGGTCATTTTCAAAAGTCAACAAAAAGGGACTTTAAGTCAAAGGCCATAACTTGAGATTGGTAAATCAAAATGACATGGGACCAAAGGCATTGGTTAAAGGACTCAAAGACCTTTCCAAAATGTCCAAGAACATGTGAAAAGCTTAAAAATTGAGCAAGTTATGCCTTGTAGAAGTTGGGAAATTTTTGTGAAATGGCAAAAGTCAACTATCTTTGAAAATCCAATTTTTGACAAAAGGGCCCCATTTTTTCCACTTGGTTCATCCTTGTCATGCCACACACGTGTCCCATGGTTAATTTCAAGACCAAATATTGATTTTTTTATTTTATTTAATTTTTGATGATTTAATTCATTTTAATTCTTTGAAAATTCAAATAAAATTTAAAAACCAATGGAATAGTGTCATGTGAACTTGGACAATTTCTATGTATCATGAACCAACTCAAGAAATCAGGCTAGGGTTCATTT